CAGCACATGGGGGAGGAACAAGTTTCAAGCAAAAAACATCCAAAGGATTAAGGGATATTGGCGCGCAGACTGCTAGGAGGGGAATCACTCTTTGAACCAACATGCATACCCATTTCTTTCCTTCATCAGACCTGGCCATGGAAGAAGGAATGAAAGAAAGGAAGGAGATGGCTGGGAATAGGAGTTCTCCACCGAGGCAGAGTAAGATAAGTCAAAGAAAGGGAGGAGAAATGAAGGAAAAAACTTGGCTAAATCGGATAGAAACCATTAGGGTTTCTTGTAAAAGGATAGCTTCTAGCGGCTATAAAAGAGGCCACTTCTACCCAACAAGCAACAACTTACATCTGGAGAGCAAGCTTCATCTCTCATCTATGAAACTCTGCAATTTTGTGCCCTATTCCTCTATCTCCTCCCATTTTCTCTTCTACCAAGCCATTCCAGAATCTAACATAGCTTTTGTCAGGCTGCTGGAAAATTACCCAAAACACCCAATACTTCACCACTAGCAACAACCACATCCAGAGAGCAAGCTTCCTCTCTCACCTGCAAAACCCAGCAAATTCGTGCTCTATTCATCATTTTCCCCCATTTTCCCTCTTCTGGCAGACTATTCTAACACTTGACACAGCCTCTGTGAATCTGCCGGAAAAACACTCAAGCCACCCATTCCTCTCTCTTTCCCTCATTCTCATCCAAACCTTCTTGCAGACCCTTCTTCTCTTACCTTAACACCCCATTTTTCCCCCGAGGAACGAATAGCTTTCTCTTCAATGCTAAACTCATGACAATTTTGCTTCAATGCCACAAGCCTCTCATGTCAAGCAAAAAAATCTATCTATAAGCTGTTGTTATTTTTGTTGGTGAAGGTAACCAAGATGTTTCCTAAGGCTTCACTATCCTTTCGAAGCATTTTTGGGGCTTGATCTTTGAACTCAAACACATGGGATAATTTCATCAATCTGATCTTTACGGCAGCCCATCCCATTTATAGCTGCCGGAAGAAAAAAGCCCCTACACCCATTAATTTCCAATTTTTCCCATAGGTCATTTACTTATGAGAATCTCCAAATTGTCCCAAAGACAAAAATTCTCAATTAGTGAGCCACACTTACCCATTAATTTCCAAATTTTGGAACTACGCCGGTTTGATCCCATCAAGGGTACGTAGGCAGTCTAGCATCCCAATAGACGCAACCGCAATCAAATTCCCACAAATCAAATCTCCACACAAATCGATTCCAACTACGTTGGTTTGATCCCTTCAAAAGGGTACGTAGGCAATCTAGAGAATAAATCTAGATGCCCCTTGCCAATCCAGTTTCGTAGGTCACATTGCAAGCTTTGTTTCAGCAATCTACACAGCTCGGATGAGGCAGAATCCTTCATGCAAGTTGTTCCAATGGGTGTCTATTATAACATATCTAAAATTCAGCCCCATTGGATGAATCTGGAGTTCGTCACCTAGCAAACACAGAACCATGCGCAGGATGGATTTTGTCAGCGCGCAAAATGAGTTGGCAATTTGTTTCGGCCCTAACTTCTTCCTCCGACCTTGGATTGGCCCAAATGACATATGGCTGGAAAGAAGACATTATGTACTTCACGTTTGAGGGTTCAAAGTCATCATTTGCTTAGGGGAATCCCAATTCGTAAGCCCTTAAAGTTTCTGGTCATGCTAACCTAAGGATGAGCTAAGTGTGCTTGTTTATAATGGCATAAGCATGAGGTGTTATTGATTGTGGGAAGTTAGGTGAAGCAGATGCATTTCTTATATTTGAAGTGGAATTTTGCAGTAGCCAAAAGGAATAAAACAAGATGAAGTGGGAGCTGCAACACTAAGCTTAAAGAGAAGATAAATTGTTTTCAAATGTAATTATGTGTTAGGTGAAATAGTTGTGGTTAGTGAATTTATCGTATAATCTGATTTACCTAACCCATGTGCCTATAAATAGAAAGTCTCCATAGAGCTAAGAGTCAAGAAATAGATATCCATCATTTTACACTTTCATTGTACACAAAGAGGGGAAGAGTTGAGAGTCACAAAGGGAGAGAAGAGAGAAGGCAACAGCTGGGAGGCTTTGGCCTCCTAGCAGCCATGGAGATGAAGCTTTTCTATCTCTAGCAGGCTGTCCTTATCTTCTTCTCCTACCTTTGTCTTTTATTTTCTTCTTGTATGTCCTTAGTTTTACTTTATTTTTCTATTATTAGTTTTAATAAACATCTTGCTAGTCTTGTATCATGGTTTGAGTTTATAAAGTTTGATTTCATTCATGAATTCTTCTTCACTGTTTTAATGGAGCTGTTTGCATCCTTTGATTGATCACCTAAGGTTTTATGCATTATGCTCTTGTTGGGAAGGTTTGGGGATCATCTTCATTCCATCCATTAGCAACTCATGAACTACATAAAAATGGTTCATGTGATTTAGTTTCTAGGACTCCTAATGTAAACACCATACTTTGGGGTCCTTGTGATGTTCAATGCAATTTGATCCAAACACCATGGACTTATTTTGAGCATCTTCATGAGTGAATCAATTTGTTGACTTGCTGCCACAACATGATTAGAACAATTAGGGTGGATTCTAAAACCTCACCATCTTGTCTTAGTTCTTTTCTTTCTTCTTGTTTTGTGTTCTTTTGTTTTCATTTCTGTTTTGTGTAGGAAAACTGAATTGGATCATTCAATCACTGATCCCTATGGAATCGACCTCGCAATTACATATGCTAAACTACCAACGGCTCGTGCTCTTGCGAGTATCACAAGTTGAGGATGCAGCTAAATCCATTTTGGGGCAGCTGAATCGATGCAACATGCCCAAATCTCCGAACAGAATCCCTGGTTAATTCTTAACCAAATTCGCCCCAAAACAAACATCAAAATCGAATCCTTGATTTATTCAGCTAAATTCGCTCAAACATTTTTTCAATCAAATTCATTCAAATTCCCCCTTTTGCAATGAGTCATTTATTCATTGTAATTCTTTGAACTACGAGTGGCTTAATTCCTGCGAGAGATACATAGGCACCCAGTGGTTCGACTTGAGAGCAATTGGAAAACCAAACACACACGTTCTGTTTCTTTATGATGGAATCAAAGGGTGTTCCCTTGAAGGAAGGGATTGCAATTAAGAGACTGGTGTCTCGATGGGTCGAACCTAAAATAATAAAACCCCATTATTTAATTAGTGGTGGTGAAATTATGTTAGGAGGTTCACATTTTCCTTCAACAATTCCATATCTAAAGATTTGGATAATGTTATAAGCATAAATTGTAATATTATACTACTACAATCTATGTATGCTAAGATTTGACATAACTAGGTGTAATACATTTAGAATGGATTTGAAATGACTAAATGCAAAGAGTCACTTGCAATCCATGTGTTTTCTTCATTTTCCATCTTATTCAAATCTCGGCATACATAAACAATTTAACTTTATAATATCATCCAAATTCTTAAGATGACTTCAGGAGAGGGCATGTCACTAGACCTATGTGTAAAATACAAGGCCTAAATAAGACAAAAAACTAAAGGGGGCACCTCAGTCGAGGCATCAGACCTCTCTCAAAGCATAGCTTGTGGCCTTAGTAAGGATGGCAACGGGTCGGGTAGGGGCCGGGTATGACAATACCATCCCCATCCCCCCGTTAGGGTCGGGGACCCGATGAGGACCCGCCCCGGCGGAGATTTTTGCCATCCCTAGGCCTTAGTGAATAAAATATCAATCCAAATGTGACAATGCACTAGAATCTCCATGGAAGAGAGGGTGTTACACACATAGGCATTTGTAGTTCTCGCGAAGTATTACTTTTTACTTGTCCATTGAAAATGCCAAAAATCATACAACTTATGCTTCAAACCAGTTTTTATTTAGGGTAAACTACAGTAAACCCCCCAACCTATAGGGTCATTTACGAGTTCATACTCGATTTTGGAAACATTTATGGGTACATACACAACCTCGCGAAAACTTACAGATCGTCCCCTCCGCTAGCGAATCCGTCAGGAAATCCGTTATGTGCCTACGTGGTGTTTGGCCTTCTGTAATTCAGGAAATCTGTTAAGGGCATTTTCGGCATCTCACGTCCCTGGGTTTCACACCCAAACACGACACGTGGTATTATAAAAAAAAAAAAAAAAAAAAAAAAAAAAGAAGCTCATCGTCCATAACCCCTTTCACCGAAATCGATTTCCCCCCCAAATCGAAACTGATTGCACAAATTGAAACCTAATCCCCATTTTGCATCGATCGAAAGCGCAAAGAAGGCTAGGTTGCTGTAATTCGAGATGCCCTGGGGTATTCGTCCTGGTGGTTGTTGTGCTCCTTATTACTGTAAGTTGAAGGTAGTTTTTAAATTTTCTTGCTTTTTGGTTTCCTCGCAAAGGTTTAAGATGCGTGCGTTTTGATTTTGTCTGAACCTTTCAGTTGCTTTGAAGTGTGCTTGTTAATTCCTATGTGGTCCATGGTTGATAGTAAACTTAGTTGTGTTGTTGGAAAAAAAGCATAAAAAAAAAAAAAAACAATTTTTATTTTCAAACCAAACTGCTTTTGATTGGAGACAGTACTTAGTGGTCCAAAACCTCTGCATTTGTTTATGTCCTTGTTTAGTCACCAGTTAAATATTGAACAATTGTGTATTGATAGGTTTGACTGTTATGTGGCATTGTAGGTGAAGATGATAAGTTTACTATTCGAATGAACCATGAGGGTTCTTTATGTGACAACCTGTATGTAAATGGGACTCTGAATTTCATTGATTTTTGTGATAAGGACCAAATGTCTATGTTTGAAATTAGTCTGATGGTTAAGGAGTTAGGCTATGATGGTATAGTGTTATATCACTATGAGCTTCCCAACTCTGCTTATGTAGAGAAGCTTATGTCTGATGAAGATGTTCTAAAAATGTGTGAATGTGTGCCAGGAGTAAGGGCGATAGATATATTTTTGACACAGTTGGCTGATGACCCTTATACCTTTTTAAACAAACACAAAGAGATGGAGCTGCAAAGGGTGGAAGGTTCTGGGGTCCAAAAACAATGGTTAGTCGTGATTGAGGATATAGGATGTGCTGATTCTATTCCTCTTGTTCCTTATGTAAGGCCAAAGGCTGCTGCAAAGGGTAAAACACTGAAAATAGTGGAGCAAGAACTAGTGGAGGATGTTGGGGATTTTTCAGAACCTGACGCACCAAAGAATGCAAAGGGTAAAACAGTGGCTGAGGCAGCAAAGAAGGGAAAGGCTGTAAGGTCTTCAAAGAATAAGAAGTACCTGAGCCACCAAAGAGTGTAAGGGTTACAAGGTCTTCAAAGGGTAAAGAAATGGCTGAACCTGAGGCACCAAAGAGGGCAAGGGCTACAAGGTCTTCAAAGGGTAAAGGTTTAGCAATAGCAAGTGCAACAGATGGGGAAGATAGTGATGCATCCTTATCCGATGCATCTACTTTTGATTGATAGTGAGTGGGGTGGGTGGGTGGGGGGGGGGGGGGGGAACATTGAAGAGATAGCTGAGGAAACCATATTTTTGCAATAGTGGATTGCAGACCATTCCCCAATTGAAGATACTTTTCAGCCTCTTGAAGATGAAGAGATAAATCAGGGTGGTGTTGTTAATGAGGGTGAAGGTGGTGCTGTTAATGAAGATGGTGTTGTTAATAAGGGTGAAGGTCCAAGTGGGGACCAACCTTTACATGTTGGTCCAAGTGGGGACCACCCTTCACAAGCTGGCCCAAGTGGGGACCACCTTTCACAAACTGGTCAAAATGAAGACCAACCTTCACAGACTTGTCAAAATAGGGAGCAGCCTTCTCGGACTATGAATTTTCACCACACAGATCTTGAAGACACCAGATTGGAAGAGGGGGATCAAGCAGTGGAGGATGAGTTAAGAAGTGCTCATTCAGATGAAGATGATGAAATAGTTGCAAGGGTGAAAAAATTCAAACACTACAACCATGAAACAGACAAGCAAAACCCTGTCTTTGATACTGGAATGATATTCAGTGACTGCAAGGTTTTCAGAGAAGCTGTTCGTGAATATTGCTTGTTGAGTGGGAAAGAGGTCACTTTCACCAGGAATGAAAAGTATAAGCTGAAGGCAGTTTGTAAAGCAGTGAGCTGTCCATGGCAGATTTATGTGGCTTGGAAAAACCCTACAAATCGAAGCTTGGTGGTGAAATACTATAATCTCAATCACAAGTGTGTCAAAGTATTTCAAAACACACAAGCCTCAAGTAAATGGTTGACAGAGAAGTTCCTGCCTATGATTCAGTCAAATCCCACCATGCCTCCACAGTCTATAGTGAATGCAGCATCTTCTAAGTTTAAAGTAGGTATATCTAGGATGAAAGCTTACAGGGCAAAGGCGGACACGCTTCGAATGATTGAAGGATCAGTTGCTGAGCAATATGCCATGCTCTGGGATTATTGCCATGAGCTGGAAGACAAAAACTCTGGCTCCACAACAAAGATGCAGTGTGAGTTTATTGATGGTGAAGCTGTTTTCAAGCGTTTGTACATTTGTTTAGAACCATTAAAGAGAGGGTTTAAGATGAACTGTAGGCCTTTTATTGGGTTAGATGCTTGCCATCTAAACGGGGTTTATGGTGGACAGTTGCTTACAGCAGTTGGGATAGATCCCAATAACGAGACTTGGGTCCTAGCATATGCTGTGGTTGAGATGGAAACAAGGGAGTCATGGACATGGTTCATTGATCTGTTGGCCAAGGATGTGGACATTGTTAATTCCTATGGATGGGCCTTTATATCTGACAAGCAAAAGGACTGCCTGGTGCATTTGAAGACATTGTGTCTAATGCTGAGACAAGATTCTGTGTGAGGCACCTTTGGGATAACTTCAACAAAACGTATAAAGGTAAAGTATTGAGGGATCAGTTATGGACATGTGCTAGAGCTACCAATGTGCCTTGTTTTAAGTATCAAATGGAAGTAATGAAGACCTTAGATAGCAATGCATAGGAGTGGCTTGCTGAGAAGCCACCAACACAATGGAGTAAGTCTCATTTCAAAACACATGTTAAGTGTGATATGCTGCAGAATAACTTGTGTGAAAGCTTCAAAAATAGTATCAAGACAGCAAGGGACAAGGTAATTATCACAATGCTAGAGATGATCAGGTGCTTGTTGATGAGAAGGATCCAGTGAAGGAGGGACAAGATGAGCAGTTGGCCTCATCAAATATGCAAGAACATTTTTTACCATGTGCAACATAAAAAGTTAGAAGCATGTAATTGTACTGTGCAGTGGTCTGGTGGTCCTAAATATCAAGTGGATGTAGGAAGAGGTGACCAATATGTGGTGGATTTGGATAATCACACTTGTTCTTGCATAAAATGGGACTTGTCAGGTATTCCTTGTGCTCATGGAATTGCTGCCATACATTACAAATGAGGTAAAGCTGTGGAGGATTATGTACATTCATACTACAGCAAGGACAGTTACATGGCCCTCTATAACAATCTCATTATGCCAATTAATGGATCACAGCTATGGGAGAAGACCAACCAAACAGCAATAAAGCCACCAGCCTACACTAGACAACCTAGAAGACCTAGAAAGGTGAGGATAAAAGGAGCTGAAGAAAGAATAGATAAGACTGGGAAAAAATGGTTGGGAAGACAAGGAATGCAAATGAGGTGTAGTATTTGTGGTTCAACTGGCCATAACAAAACCACTCACCATTGGAATCTACCTCAAAAGGAAAAACCCCTTTCAAGGGGTAAAGGAAGACCAAGAAAGATATCTAACCAAGACCCTGCAATTGCTGCTGTGAGTGCCTATTTTTATTGCTATGTTGTGTTAATGAAATGTTATGTTGTTTCTTCCTTAAAATGGAAAAGCAATTTCATTTTTTTATTGTTTGAAGCTGAGAGTGTATTTTATTTGTAGGATGAAGCAAAAGCAGCTGCAAGAGTTAGGAGAAAGAATGCATATGTAAGGATAAAGGCTGCTACTGCTGCAAAGAAGGTTGCACTAAATGCTTCCCAGCCAAATGTAGCTGAAACTGCTGGAATAGGATTGAGAGCATCCAAGAGACAGAGAACATAGTCTCTTAGTTCTTAGTTCTTAGTTTATGCAAATTCCATTTTATTTTGAACTAGTACAACTTCTGGTTTTGTGATGTGGCCTGATATGTTTACTTTCTGGTATTTTGAACTCCAAGTGGGGACCAACTTCTGGTTTTGGTAGCTGTTTCATTGTATTCCAGATTAGGTGCTCATGTTCATTTTGTAAAATTGAGATGCAAATGTTGGAAATGTATGCATGTGTTTTGAACTCAAAATATAATGGAATTTGCCTTCAAGCAATTGTTCAATTGGAAATTCCCTAACAATTGTGCATACATAAACAGTCTGCATTTCCAATTTGCCTCACAATTGTTCATACATAAACATCTTTCATACAACTTCACATGGGAAATTACAAGAAACAGACCTTTCATACACAAAGCACTTTGATTTTCCAAAATGTCCCACAAATGTCTAACATATAGACCCTAAAATGTAAGTGCTAATTTCACATTCTTGGAAGATCCAGAGTCTCTCCATTCCAGTACTAGCATTCCCAACAACACAATCAAAAAAATCCAAGAACCCAGAACACTTGCTCGTAGAAATCTTTGTGCTTTCAAGGCAGCTCCAACCTCTTTTTTCAATTTTTAATTTTCCTCTTCTTCCTTACGCAATCGTTTCAATAGTCCAGATATCACAATCTTGGACTTTTCACATACATGTGGATCATACCATTCAAAGAATGCACAACCTCTTCTAACCCCATAATCGGCGCAGCCCCAAAATCTTCTCCCCGGGTTGTTGTCAGTCCACGACGTCGTCAGACGACATTGATTGCTGCAATGACAAATGGGCTGGGCCACTTCGCATCTTCGATTTGCAGACATCATCGACCTCGTTGACATCGTCGTCTTTGTCTTCTTCAAATTGGAACCTGGGCAGCCGCTTCTATCGATTTGGGGGCTAAGTCTGAGTGGGGGCTTAGATATGGAACACGATTTGGGGGTTTTCTGTTTTTATTTTTTGAATTAAACTAAACCACGTGTAGCAGTTGGCGCGAAACCCAGGGACCTGATCATCCAAAAATGCCCTTAAAAAATTGTCCAACTAGACGCCACGTAGGCACATAACGGATTTCCTGACGGATTCGCTAATGGAGAGGGCGATCTGTAAGTTTTCGCGAGGTTGTGTATGTACCCATAAATGTTCCCAAATCGGGTATGAACTCATAAATGACTCTATAAGTTGGGGGGTTTACTGTAGTTTACCATATTTATTATTTCAAAATATGCATCAAACCTCCTTCCTCTGATAATATTCCACCGGTTAGCCAATTAGGCCTAAGCTCCCAGCCGTTGGATCAATCTGAAAAATCGGAAACTACACTATTCCCCGCTTTTTTTTCTTTTTGGTACATTTTAGTCCCCGCTTTTCCTTCACGGCTGGGCCGGTCAGTGGTCATCTAGCCCAAAGCCTAGCCAAGCAGCCGTCTTCAGAAGCTTTTGTCGGGTTTTGGGTCTCTCAATCGAGGTCGAACCCAATGTGGAGACAAAATGGTTCGTCGTTGGAGTTCATAGCAATGAAATTCAAAATGCATTGAAATCTCAGGTTTTTTCTTTTTCTTTCTCCTTCATTTCTCTTGAATTCAGTTTTCGCTGAATCGAATTCCTGGTTGTTCTCTGAAGTTTCAACTCCATGGAAGCACAGACCACTCCGAAACTGAAAAAACCTCCAAAACCCAGCAAGCCCATTACAGAGCTGTGGTGGTTTTTCGCCGCAGCCGCCTGCGTAAAGCTGCTTCTGATCCCAGCCTACAAAAGCACAGACTTTGAGGTCCATCGCCACTGGCTTGCTATTACCCACTCTCTGCCTCTCTCTCAATGGTACTTTGACGAGACCAGCCCCTGGACCCTTGACTACCCTCCATTCTTTGCCTACTTTGAGCGCCTCCTATCTATTTTTGCCAATCTCATTGACCCACAAATTGTTCACCTCCAAAAGGGCTTGGATTACAGCTCAAACACAGCTCTTTATTTCCAAAGAATCTCAGTTATCTTCTCGGATTTGTGTCTTTTGCATGGGATTTATAGATTGACTAGGAAGTTGGATTCAACGAGGCAAAAACTGATCTGGGTACTGGTGGTTTGGTCTCCAATGCTTGTGATTGTGGACCATTTGCATTTTCAGTACAATGGATTTTTACTTGGGATTTTGTTGATTTCGCTTTCTTATTTGGAGGAAGGGAGGGACGTGATGGGTGGACTAGTTTTTGCTGTGTTGCTGTGCTTCAAGCATTTGTTTGCTGTGGCGGCACCAGTTTATTTTGTCTACTTGTTGAGGCATTATTGCTGGAAAGGATTTGTGAGAGGTTTCTGGCGGCTTTTCATTTTGGGAGTTATTGTTGTGGCTGTTTTTGCAGTGGCTTATGGACCCTTTGTCTATCATGGGCAGGTAATCTCTCTGGCTTTGACCATCTGTCTTTAGATGGTTATTGACCATCATCTTCGTATTACTCTTACCTGTTTTTATGAAGAAATCTCAGAGCATATTAACCTTTGCATGTGTGAATACTCACCAAGCAATGAATGACTGGGGATTTTTCCTCTGCAAATGGGATTTTATGAGAGCTGAATATATGTTATACTATGGAAAGAAATAGTGAGCGAGTTCTTAGGTGTGCCAATTCTGTGTATTCTGTTTTGTGTTAAGACCATCTGGCTTCCTCCTGTCATGTTGATTAATCGATATTTTCGTATTAGCGGCGGAAAGCCACTAAGTTTCATCTGTTGTCCTATTAACACAAGTAAAAACAGAGATTTCATGCAAAGGACCCACTAGTGTAGTGGTTTGAAACAATTGCTCCCTAGGCAATGTCCTCACGAGTATTCAATTTCTAATATTCTATCTTGCCAAACCTCACATAGCTGCTTCAGTTAAACAATTTTTTGGGCTGCTGTACTTCAAACATTTGATCTGTCTGCATTTCTGACAGCAGAAAGAATTCATTTTGCTCTTTCAGAAATAATGTGAAAAACTTCTAACATTAATCCTATTTACCGCCTGTCGGTAATCTTTCAATGCAATGGTACAATGGTATATGTTTGAAAGTATTGTCTCTTGCAAAATTTCAAGTGACCTTCCAACCTCCTTTTGGGTTTAGGGTTGCTTTAAAAGCTTTCAACAAATCAACCATGATACAATGGTCCTTTGGTATAGGTTCAAATCCTATTGGAACCCATGAGCCATCTCTGTGTGTCCTAGAAGTTAGTTTCATTGATTAGGTTGATAAACTGAAACCTTCATTATGGAATCAATGCTCACACCAAAGTAACAATCAAATAAGGCTACACTAGCTTTCTTAAAAGTTGGTTTGAGTGATTTAGTTAGACCTTTAGGAGCATGAAATTTATGTTGGGGCAAAGACTTCTGTTGTGATCGGTTTTGTATTTTCTTTTTTTGAATCAAGCAAAATATAGCATATTGATTACAATTCTGTCATATATTCTTTCAGAGCTTGCGACTGAATATTGTTCACTAGCAAAAGTTAATATTGTACATTTTAGATCATAAGGATTTACAGTTTAATTTGGGTTGTGTGAATGGAGAAGAATGGGAGGTGTTTTAAGGGAGAAAGGGGTGATGAGGTGGAATACTTGTGCTATACCTATAGGGTTCAGTTTTGGGCATCCCTTGGGTAGTTCTTTTCTAGCTACGTTTTTATGACTGAAGTGCTGCTTTGCTTTAGCTTATTTTTTATACTGTTGTAGTGGAATAATTGTGATCAGTAATGTTATTAGTTGTAGATCTCCCTGTGTTGCAACTTTTGTCTTCCTATAGCAGCACCGGTCTTCTCAAATACTACATCATTTGAAACTAATACAGTTTGCAACATTAGCCTATTAACCGTGTATATCCTTCTCTTGACATTTCATATTGATGATTTTGATTCTGTAGGACGGAATGCCTTTTAAATTTCCCCTATTTTCTTCTGTTACCCTTTAATGTACGCTATGCATTAAACATAGTTAGGGAGAGGGCTGAAAATTGACACTCCTTCCATGAAAATGTTGATGAAAAGATTAACTGCGGCAACACTGATATTCCACCCACTTTACAGTAATTCATGTTTAACAAAATGAAGTGAGGGATTAAGCTTCGTCAAGATGGTTGGTTATGCACTAATGTTGGTTCCTGGTCTTTCTATACACATGGCGCTTGTAACAATTTGAATGCATCTTCAACGAGTCATTTAAATTTCTTCTTACTGATCAACCAATGAAGCCATCACGGTTTATTCATGCATGGTGTATTAATTGTTCAAAATTACCTTGCAGATGCAACAAGTCATCCACCGCATGTTTCCTTTTGGAAGGGGACTTTGTCATGCATATTGGGCACCAAATTTTTGGGTGTTCTATATCATACTAGATAAAGTGCTTGCTTTCTTGCTGGGAAGACTTGGATTCAACATTCAGGCACCAGCAGCTTCGTTCACTGGTGGGATAGTTGGGGATTTGTCCCCTTTTGCTGTACTACCTCAGGTAATTATCAATGGTAAACTGGAAGGAGGTGGAATATAATAGGATAACAATAACTTTCTAAATAGCCTAATTCCTTAATCTGTCAAAACAAATTACGAAGAAAAAAAAGCTCCTAAATTGGATGGTACTGCTTGTTGATGGTTCACACGTCAGCCTTGGTTCAACTTCACATAATTATAACTAGGTGGTAATTTTAGGCTGTGCTGGTTACAGCCTTCTTCTCTAAACCTTGTGTTGAAGAATTACCAATGTAGTTCAATAATTAAACACTTTCCATTGCCCAGTTTAATTCTTTCACACTAGTTTGTGGTGGTCCAGCAATCACACTGAGTCCATATGCCATTATTTTTCCCTAAGCTTAAACGTCTGACTGAGCAGAACGAAGAAAGCTCTTTTCCCTCTGTACTATGTTGAGTCCTGCTGATTGATGAGGTGGTGTATTCCATTTATTTTACACAGGACTAGGTTGTTTTACTTAATAAATAAACTTTTTTTATTCTTTTTTTTCCATCTTCTTAATGTTTGCGGGACCTGAGTTTTTGTACTTGAATTCATGAAATGGTAGATCACCCCTGTCACAACTTTTATCCTGGTTCTGCTCGCATTATCTCCCTGTCTCATCAAGGCTTGGAGGCATCCACGGCCAGTGAGGATTACAAGATGGGTAGCCTATGCTTACACTTGTGGGTTTCTTTTTGGGTGGCATGTTCATGAGAAAGCAGCACTCCACTTTGTCATCCCCCTTGCTATTGTCGCAGTACAGAGTTTGGATGATTCAAGGCATTACTTCTTATTATCAACTGGTATGCTTTCATTTCTTCGCATAGAAACTAGGGGGCATTTTAAGAGCATTCAAACATAAATCTTGGTATGTGGGTTAATTTTTTTAATCTTGATTGGGGTTTCTAAGCTTCCTATTTGTACATTAATGTACTCTATCCTTCTATGCCATGTTTGCTGTGCAGTGTCCTGCTACTCGCTGTTCCCACTTCTATTTGAAGCCCAGGAGTATCCAATAAAGGTGCTGTTGCTGTTACTGCACTCCATGCTTATGTGGTTAGGTTTCTCTGCGCAATTCACTAAGCGTATATCACTTGAACTGGAAAAATCTGAAAAGAAAAAAGATAAAGAAGAAGGGTTTGTTATTGGGTGGGTTGGCTGGGGTTATCTGGTTGGTATTTTGCTTGTTGAAATTTCGGGTCAGTTTCTGCATCCCATCATTTTTGGTGATAAGCTTCCTTTTATACCCCTTATGCTGAGCTCCACGTACTGTGCACTAGGAACCATGTACTCTTTCATATGGCAATTAAAATGGATCCTTGATTCATGATTGTTCAGGTTTTGACTAAATCTTATTTATAGAATTGTGAAGTGAATTTTAGATGGGTTTTTAACTTCATATCCTATTTTTTATAGTATTAGTTTCTGTTGACATTTTCACACGATAGAGCATGACCTTGAGATCTTGGGCACTTGATCCTATACGACTTGCTCAAATTGCTTCATTGCTTCTACCAAGACACATCTCATTCACTCATGACCAGAAAATACAACGTGGTTTATTTAGGAGGTTGATTTTCCCACTCACTCTCTTTATTGTATGGTCCTGCTCCCCTTTGCTCTACTTACACTCTTTTATATGTTATAGTAAAAAGTATTAAAAAATAAAAGAGAGTGTAAGTGGGAAACAGGAGTGGGAAAATCAGCACCCTTTATTTAACTGAAAGTTTGATTGTCAAGAGTCTAATGAACGATAGGTCTTTCACCTATAATTGGTACTTTTTGTAATCACTTGATAAGGCCATCTCGAGCCATGGGCCATATGTCAAATGTAGCCCTAAAATAATGCAAAAATCATCTCTAGCCATGAGCTTTAAATAAATTTTTTTTTATTTAAAAAAAAGGCTAAATTTGGAGGGCCGCATTTAGCCCTTTAACCCTCCAACTTGGCCACTTATTGCCTAGCTATAGCCCATGCCAAATTTTTGTGCGGGCTCAGTGCATGTATTTTCCAACAGTAGAAAGCATCACGCGTGGGCTTGAGCACAGAACATCTCATACAACTGCATATCCAAAGACTGATATGAAAGGCACACTGATGTCAACTAGCCGTCACATTTTTTTTTCTTTTAACCTTTTAAATGTATTTAAATTCATGTCACTCAAAATAATAAACAATACAATAATAAAATATATTTAAATAGTTGTTTAATTAAATTAAACAATACATAGTAGTGAATTGTATGAGTGTTGTACCGTAGCTTTTCTAAAAATAATCAAATATGGAGGGCCCTAAAATATAGCCCTATATAGGTGGAGATGGGAAAATTTATCCGTACACTATTTTTTTTAACGTTAATATTTTGTACGGGGTCAATTTATAGCCCTGGACTACATTTAACCCAATAACTGAAAATGGCCTAAGGAGAATTCGAAGTTAAACCATACTAATATTGTGAAAAGAAATACCACTAACGAAAAATGGGTTGGTTGAAATAGGTACACAGAGTCCTAGAATATCACGAGTTCCACATTAATAGACGTGGCTTATAAGGAAAAAAGAAAAGAAGAAAAAGGGTAATTTACTTTGGGTACCCTTATTTGTTGTATTGCTAAAGTTTTGGTAGAATTTGTGACATAAATATAAGATTGGCCCCAAAATATAAAACCAAGGCAACCAATGAGAGATGAGTAAACTAGCTAGTTGTAAGTGTCTTTTGGGAAATTCTAACTTCATATTTATGTTATTTTAGCTAGTTTTTCCTTTATGACCTACTCAACAGCCAACAGTTTAAGGCTCTACTTAGGTACCTTATTTTACCAAGATAAAAATATATACATACTTATATCAAAATAATGTCGAATCAATCAATAGATATGTGGACGGCCGGTATGAAGCAGCTTGTGCTATAAGTAGCTCTTCTTAGGTTTCTTATTTTACCAAGAGAAAAGAAAAAAAATGACTAAGAGTGCTCCTGAAACTGTTTATTACTTCCTTACCATCTTCTTCTTCATCATCCTTGGTAATTCTTTTCCTACGTTGATGAATTAAGGAGAGGATGGTGGTTTTACTAATTTTAATTTGTTTCCAAGGTGTTACGTCTAGACTTGTTTATGCTATAAGTTCTCCTAATTAGGTTCTCTTGTTTAATTTAAAGAAAAGGAAAGGCATTACTAATTAAGACTCCTTTGTTGTCCGTATAAATTATCATACATTTGAGCAAATGCATTGTGCATGCATTTTACGTAATTGTGTTGGGAGACCATTTCAGTCAAAAACCCTTGCTCTATTTAACTCATTTGTTTCACGGTAGAGGAGGGCCAAACATGTACTCAAACGGTGTTCACAAAGAAAGAGTGCCCAAAGACAGGTGATCTTAATTGCCGAAAGCGAATGTGTGTAGCATATTGCAAAGCTACACTTGAGCAAGTTTATGATGGAAACTGTACAGAAGAATATGAGGAATCCTTTTTTTGTTATTGCTAACTCCCTTGTATGTCACGATAATTTTGACACCTATTGCAAAGATGTGGAGCTTGCATTGCACTCCATGGGATGTGTGTGCAAGTAACTGGCCCCTCATCTTGTTTCTGTTTCTACACATGTTCGTCATAACAAGTTGAAAAGCACACCAACACTCTTTTTTGTATTCTGTATGCTTTCTAAGAAGGGCAAATATAAGGTTTTAATTCTTATAATTATGAGCCCATCTCGAATGTCTAGCTAGTGGATATATCATATATGTATCCTTTGCTTGTCTTGTTTTCATGAACTTTGGGCTTCTTTTATATATGTCCAATTTTATTAAGATATAATGGATGTAGGAGATCAATTTTGACTTCTTAATATATATAGCAGTCCACCAAGTCAGCTTGTGACCAGATAAGCAATACATTTGTCCTTCCTTTTTAATATATTTGACTTCAAGTGCCATTAAGGTTTTGGCAATCAATCTTCCCCAGAACCTTACCTATATAGTATATAGAAAATTGATTGACAGAACGTAGCATATTTTCGTCTCTTTTGTTGTCAAAACCCCTTTTTTTTCTCTTTTATTTTTTCCGTGGGCTCGTTTGTAAAGCAGTAGCAGATTAAAATGGGGCTTACTCAAGAACTAAACTCTTTTTCATGAACGAGGTCTCTCGTTAGGAGAGTGTCGTGTACAACAAGTCTAGTGCGCTAGGGTTAGGGTTTACCAAATATTAGTGGCTCCGACAGCACAAGGGCACTCATATCATGCACGATACTACACTATCGAAAAGCGACTTTCTCACTGCGAGACGATTGAAAGTGCGGGAAGAAGAAGAATACTGTTTGGTTTAATATTGTTGTGTATTATTCATCTCACAAAGAGGGATATATATTTATATATATATACACACACACATAGAGTTACAATCCTAATCCCACTATCACATGGAGTAATTAGACTAAAATCTAATATTACAAGGAGTTACCTAAAATATAATACAAAAGTCAACACTCCCCCTCAAGTTGGTGCATAGATATCACTCATGCTCAACTTGTCTAAGAACTTCGAAAAAACATGGTCTTCTGTCCTGAGCAATATCACGGGCAACTTGTTTATCACAAAACAACTTCATTGGTTGACTAGGTGCAAAACCCAAATCTTGTAATAGCAGTATAAGCTATAGGATCTCACAAACTTCCAGTGCCATACCTTTATATTTAGCTTCTGCACTTGGCCAAGTAACCACATTATGCTTCATACTCCACCATGTAACAAGATTACCTTCCACAATAGTAAAGTAATTTGACGCCGAGCGTCTATCATCAACTGATCATGCCCAATTTGCATATGTATATAACCTTCAACTCTGAGATGGGCCATTCTTTGTAAACAAAATTATTTTTCTTAGACTCCCCTTCAAATATCGCAATATCCTCATAAATTCCTTCATATGTTGCTTGCCAGGATCATATGTGTACAGGCTAACCACATTGAAGGCATAGGCAAGATCAGGCCTCTTGTGAGCCAGATACATCATTCTCTCAACAAGCCTTTGATATCGACCTTTATCAACCGATATTTGGGTTGGATTAATCTCAAGTTTGAGTTCTTCTTCCATTGGTGTAGCAATTGGTTGACAAGCAAACATGCCAATTTCATGCAACAAATCTATCCTGTATTTTCTTTGTAACAGGAAAATTCTTGATTTAGATCGTGATACTTTTATTCCCAAAAAGTATTTTAGAGAACCTAGGTCTTTCATCTCAAATTCCCTGAGCAGATAGCCCTTTAACGTTTTTCGTTCTTTTGGATCATTTCCTGTCACCACCATATCATCAACATATACCATATCATCAACATACACAATTAGAGCTACAAGCTTACCCTAGTTCTACTTAAGGAACAAAATGTGATCTAACTTCCTCTGCTTGTAACCAAACTCCCTTGTAAATTTCACAAACCTACCAAACTATGCTCGTGGAGACTATTTCAAACCATATAGAGACTTCTTTAATCTGCACGCTTTTTGACTATATTTTTGTGGAACGCCACACCCAAGTGGAAGATCCAAGTACACTTTTTCTATCAGGTCTCCATGCAAGAACACATTCTTCACATCAAATTGTTGTAAGGGTCATTCCAAATTTGCAGCTAAGGACAACAATACTTGAATCGTGTTGATCTTAGTTACTGGCACGAAAGTCTTCATCTAATCAATTCCATATGTATGAGTGTACCTTTTTGCTACCAACATTGCCTTGAATTGATCAACAATACTACCGGCCTTGTACTTCACTGTATAAACCCATCTACATCCCACAGGTTTCTTGCCAGCTGGCAAATCAACTATCTCCCAAGTAGCATTCTTCTTCAAGGACTTTATCTCTTCGTTCATTGTTGTTTGCCACAAGGGTCAACTAAAGCTTCCTGCACACTTTTAGGAATAGATACAGCAAATATGCAAATGACTTATTTGATTCAAACAACCGATAGGTAAACACATAATTATTCATAGGATATTTGACGATGCACCTTGGGTCGCCCTCATAAGTGGATTTCAGGATACCTCTATTAATACAGTTCAGGAGGCAACTTCTGGTTGGTTCGTTGTTGTTGGCATTAGTGACTGAGGATGAATACTTATGGGTATCATAAGCAGACAAAGGCAGCGAAAAGAATGATGGTGGCTCTACGGTAGTTGATGACGTAGGAGGACTGCTAATCTCGTCTTCATTTTCGTGTAAATGCATTTCACCACTTATTTCCAAGTTACCATCACTTAAATCCAAGTCATTCACGTCTACATGTTCATGTGAATGAGAATTGCCAATTATTTCCAAGTTACTACCACTTAAATCTAATTCATTCACTACTTCTATATTCATGAAGCTATAATCAAGAGTCTGCACTTCCTTCTAGTGCTCCTCCTGAAGTGGGGACTCCGATGAGATGAACATAGCATTCTCATGAAACACTACATCCAAGGTGACATACATTTTCTAAATGGGTAGATGATAACAATGATACCCTTTCTGATATGATGCATAACCCACAAAACACACTTCAAGGCACGGGGATCAAGCTTACTGCATTGATGCTTGTGAATGTGGATAAAAACAACACACCCAAACAAGCAATGTGGAAGATTCAGAATATGAGGGCAAGCGGTGAGAGTCGTCAACATTTGAAAGGGTGTTTGGAAGTTGACGGCTCCGGACGGAACATAGTTGATCAAATATAATGTAGAGGAAAGAGTTTTTCCCCAATAGGATATTGGCAAATGAGCTTCAAGTAGAGATGCACGAACAACCTCAAAGGAGGTGCCGATTTTTCTTTCTACAACTTCATTCTGTTGTGGGGTATACGAACATGTAGTCTGATGAATGATGCCATGGTGATCCAAGTATTTGTACAATTCAGAGTTCACACATTCACCACCATTGTCACTGCAGAGCACTTGTATCTGAGTCTTAAATTGAACACAGCACCCATTTTTTGAAATTTCTGAAACAACAAATTCCTTAACTTTTCGATTTCATAGAGCATACCTAAGTCATTCGAGTGCAATCATCAATAAAAGTAACAAACTAGTGGGCACCCCCAATGTAGCAATCTTAGATAGACCCTAAACATCATAATGCATCAACATAAATGGAAAGGAACTTTTCTTCATACTTGGTGAAAAGGAAGTACGATGGCTTTTCTCCAATTCACAAATGTCACAACGAAATCTAGAAACATCAAACTTCAAAAATAACTTAGGAAATATCGTTTGTAAATAACTAAAAGAAGCATGTCCAAACAACGATGCCGTAACCATACTTCAAATTCTTTATTCTTCTCCCCTAAGAACCTTCCACAAACAAAGCTTGAGTCAATCGACCAGAGTTTTCTGACATCAAGTCCAAGTAGTAGTGCTTTCCTCGCTTAAAACATAGATGGTTTGGATCATTAGAGAATAATTTGTAGGGACCCCACCCCATTGAGAAGTTCAAATCTCCCCTTTCTTATTCATCAAAAGAAAGTAACCCTTCTGAATGATCATAATGACAATATCATCTCTTTTTTCTTTGGCAAATAAACAAATTAAACATACATTACAAGTAAAAAAGGAAAAACATCATCTTCCTTAAAGTCTCTTTGTACTCCCATCTTAAATCTAAAACTACATTTTTTTAGGTTACAATAGAAGGAATTGAACCATAGCCTAACCTTAATACTAACTAATGTCCCCACCCATTCTCACCACTTGGGATAACCTAGAGCTTTAAAATACATCATTTGCATGATCTTACAATCATACAAATATGTCGTTTGCTTCTGTTTTTGCATTTAATTCAATCATTTTTATACTAACACAATCATTCTCTTGTCAGTCTATCATATATAATTTTTAATACAAACGTTAGTCTAAACTACGATTTTTCACAAAGGCACTACTAAATATGCCACTGGGTTAGACCCGGTTGGCCAACCTATCATGTCTAAATTTATAGAGAAATTTACTTTCATCTCTTGACCAAAATGAGCTCAATGGGCCCCAAATGGGTAATTTCCCCAGATTTACATGCAAATGCAAAAGCCCAGTGACTCGGCCCACAAAGGCCTCAACAAAACTAGACTATTAACCCGTACCCAGTCTCCATTTCCACAATCCGAAAACGGCGAAGCCATTTCCGAAACACCAGCCAAACCCTTCTCTAAACTCACTCACTCTCTCTCTCCGACCCTGCGAGACCCGAGCGACCCCTCACTCTGCGACCATGTTGCGCCGCGCCACCGCCCTCTTGACCCGACCTGTGATCTCCCTCCGGGCCCGACCCTTCTCCACGGATGTCTCAGAAACTCCAGTAGCCGACACGTCGTTTTATGATGCTTGGAAGAAAGTGATCCCAACCTTAGAGCCACCCCACACCCCATTGACTTTCATGAAGCCTCGGCCTCCAACTCCATCTTCGATCCCTACTAAGCTCACTGTCAACTTTGTGCTGCCTTATAACTCGGAGCTTGCAGCCAAAGAGGTCAGTTTGTGAAAGATTTGTTGTGGTTTTGGTGCAATTTTTTCGTTCTGATGTTGAATTTAAGAGTTTTATGATATGGGTTTTGTTTGTTTTTGTATGGGTTTATCTGGGTTTGGTGCTAATCTTGGTTTTGAGGTAGAATTGGTTGTCCTTAGTTTGATGTGATCTCATTTGGGTATTTTCTTGTTCGGACTAAGTTTAGATGGGTTTGGTGCTAATTAGAGATCGATATCAATTTGTAGACTTTGATTTTGTTGTGAACTTATATGGCTTTGGTTTTATTTAAATGTGAATTTGATGGTTAACTGATAAATGTAGAAAATTGGATTCTGATATAGTTTACAACTTGATCCTTTGTGTAGATGTCATTTTAGTAAATGTACTAATCAACGAATTGCAAACTTGTATTAGGTGTTCATATCTTCAAATTGATGAAATTGTACTTACTAAGGATGCCACATTTATATCCTTGTAACTTTCTTGTATGAGACTGTTTTGTGTTTCTTAGCGAAGGTCCATTTTTCAGAACAAGGGTTGTTAACTTCAAGTCAATGTCAAACTTCCATCATGAATGTTGTGATTATGTTCGTTAGCATATGAAATTTTAGTAGATTGATTTTCTGCATTTTTATGTTTCTGAATTCGGATAGAAAATATCTGGGAAATTGCTGTCTAAGTGCTTTTTCCATACCACTTGTGTATTTCTTTTATTACATTTTCCAGTCTTGGTTATCCATGTTTTTCCTTTGATACCTTTTGGTTACTTGGTGATTGAGAGATGTTGGCAGAAAATGAAATGGAATTTCAGATCTCTAGTGTTTGATGTACTTGTACCTTAACTGGTTTAGCACCACTGTGTCTTAGTTGACCATTTCATATTCTGCTAACAACAGGAAACACAAGATTTGGGTTTCCCCCTCTCCTTTCCCGCAATCTGTGGAAAAACTAGGAACTTTGTTGGTTTTCATTCAGTTCTTAGCATCAATTGCTTGGTTCATAGTATTCATTCCATTACTTGTTGACTGGTGAACATGATGAGAAACACTGCTTATTATCAAAATTAAGAATCCAACAATTTCCGTAAAAATTGCTGCGCATTCTTAAATTCCATTTCCTTTACCTTTATCAAGCCCTTTTGAACTGTAAACGGGTCCAATAGCTACCTGCGAGGGATCGGTGGAATTGGTCAGTCCCACTGTTTGCTCCCATGTGGTCAGAGTTTTGAAACCCGCAAAGGTACTTATCTAGCTATTTGCCAGTGTTTCCTGTCTCCCGAAGCGGATTGGGGAATTTCTGAGTATTTTTTCAAAAATGGGTCCAATAGCTGGATCCTGGAGCAGATTTTATTTTTCTCAACTTAAGACTTGAGTAACATGGGAGGGTGAGCTAGTGCATGGTTGCATGCCCATAAAAACTGGTCAAGGTCCAGTTGGCAGTTGAATTGTTAGTTTTTTCTACCCTAGTTTTCATACAAGCATCTAGATGCCTGCACATTTTCCGTGCTCAGATCCCTGGAACTAATCAACTGTAACTTGGTTCTTATTTTGTAGTTAGTCTCATATATCAGGTTGATATATTTTCTACATTTTGTTTGATTGATGCTCCTTCCAAACAAACAGAAATCAAACAGAAGAATGGTAGGGCTAATTTCCTTTCCAAATCAAAAGAGAGATTTTTTGTTTTTTTTTACTTTTACCATTATGATTTGTATTATACAGTGCTCTTAGGCATACGCTATGTGAAGGCAATTTTCTATAACTGAAAATTAGATTCCATATTTGTCCATTTTTTTATCCTTGAATCTTGTCATATCTTATTTTTTTATTGCTGTGTGTATCTTTTCAAGTAAACCTAAATACAGCACTTCATAGTTTTTCTGCCAAATAATGTAGTCTTATCTGTTCCATTTCAAGCAAAAGATAGATTTTCTTGCAATAAAACCAAATGAATTCACTTTCCCTTTTCCACAAATTAAATAAAAAATTTGCTGATGCATTTTGAGATCAAATGCTCTTCCTTTTAGGGTATTAAAATTATTCTGCTATTGGTGTTATCCTCAGTTGGATTGAAGACTTTGCGTATTTAGTGTTGGTGTAAGATAGTCACTGAATATCTTCTTTACAATCCTCTTCACTGCATGTCTGACATTTGGAGTTAAGATAGTAGTATGTGAAGGGATTGTTGAAATGCCAATTATTCAAAAGCTCATGTAGGAAATATGCCAAAAGAAAATTATGTATATCTTGTCTGACGCACACTGAAAGCTGAAGGGGGTAAAGGCTGTCATTGAAATTATGAAAACCTGTGGGCAACAACCAATGTTTTCATTCTGTTCGTTAAATAGTTGAGAATCTCGGTAAGGAGTCAAGGATGCCAGCCCCTCTATCCCAGTATCATGGTTTAGTGATACAGTCCTTGCATGCATGAATTCAAAATTACAAATACATATACAAATGCAGCCTACACACACACGAAATTGTTTAGAGAATTAGAATTTTCTGCATTTTGTTTGATACAATGTTTCCACTTGTGAATATTGTACTACCGTATCTTAACTTTTATGAATCATGTCTCAACAGGTTGACATGGTAATCATACCAGCAAGCACTGGGCACATGGGTGTTCTTCCTGGACATGTAGCAACAATTGCAGAGTTGAAACCTGGGGTCCTATCAGTACACGAAGGAAATGATGTGACAAAGTATTTCGTCAGCAGTGGTTTTGCATTCATCCATGCGAACTCTTATGCAGATATAATTGCTGTAGAAGCTGTCCCTCTTGATCGTGTCGATGCAAGTCTTGTCCAGAAGGGGCTTGCAGAGTTCACCCAGAAGCTCAGCTCAGCTTCGACTGACTTGGAGAAAGCTGAAGCTCAGATTGGAGTTGATGTGCATAGTGCCCTCAATGCTGCCCTCACGGGCTAGTTTTACTAGTCTTTTCACTCTATTGTTGATTTAGTCCATTTGTACCCGCTGTTACATCTTTAAGGTGCGGCAATTCGACACTTGGATCGGTCTCATGGAGCCAATATGTGTCTCAACACTTTTTTCTTGTAGTTCTGTGTTGAATGTGGAATTGATGAAAAAATAATACTGGAATTTGATGTCATCTGGTTTACAGAGTTGGTCAAATACTTAAAAGAAACGAGAGATTACCATCCTTGTTTCATTTTAAATAACAAAAAGAAACCAATAGGCAATTTCTAGTTTGTATTCTACAAGTTGGCATAGAATCAGATCCTGGCCTTGAATGGAAAATGACATTGAATCCATCATTCTTTTTTAATCCTTTTATATCTTCTTCAGGCATCTAACTAATAAAGAATTAGAATCTAAAAGTTGTAAATATAATAAATTTGTCAATTGGATTTGTTGGCAATTATGTGTAAAGGGTTTAAACAGTTAAAAAAAAATACAAATTTATAAATAAACCCAATCCTAGACATGTATTTATAAAAAAACCCAAGCACTATTTAAACATAGAAACACACCCAAAATCAACAATTGTATATTTTTTTGGTGTGTTTATAAATGGGTTTTGAGTGTGTGTAATGATGGGTTTTGGGTGTGTTTATAAAGTGTTTTGGGTGTTTAATTTTTTTTATAATTTCAATCCCCATTTTGGATGTTTTAATGAAACTCCCAAAAAAAAATCTATTTCTGAGAAATAAACAAACAAAAAAGCAAGAAAAAGAACACACATGCATAGCACGACAAGGGACTTTATCATCTCAATTGGAAATGAATTGCGTGGTGGGTTGATATTCAATTTGTTGATGGACGAGTTTCATAATCACATCTCCAAGTTGGTACTTTTTCTTATGTATTTATTTGATTCGCTTGGATTTCAAGATTCAACCATTTGCTTCAACCAATTGAAGACAAGGAAACCAGAAATGGACTGAAAGCTATTCCACAATTTGATAGTTGATTATTCTCTCTACAATGTGATGACCCACAAGTGGAAAAGTGTGTGATGAAACTGATTGAGAATATTATATTATTAACAATGTCGTATTTGTATAACCCCAAACTATAATGAACAATGAAATCACATTATCATAAATCACAAGAACACCAAATAAAGAGGAAAAAAAAAGCTCTAGAAAATGCCAGACACATTGTAGAAAAAGCTAATCTACATTACATTAACATTTTAAAGTCCTATTTGTTGAGAATTCTCTAATAAGTATTTTATGTTAAGTATTGGTTGCATATTTGTAATCTCGACAGTTGGATTGCATGTATGTTACATACTAAATCTACCGATACATCTAATAAATGCAATTCAATATTCGAAATTAAAAATATATAACGAATCCTTTTAAATACTTATTAGAGTCTCCTCTCAAAACAGTACCAAACAATCAAAATTTACAAACTATTGTTTTCATTTAAAAAAGAGCAAAAAAACAAAAAACAGAAAATCATTTAGTTTAGACAACTCATTCAATAAGCCACATGGCATGGTCCACGTGGAGAGGAAGCAAAATGGAACGACCAAATAATTGGAATACCTTGGATCGTGGGACAGTCTCCACCGTCGATTCCAACCTCGTTCATCGTGGCCGTTCCAAGAACATGGAGAAAGCAAGCAAGCGATCAATTATGTCTCTTTTCGCAACCACTTGCCACGTCGCACGTGTCATAATTCGATGGCGCTGCGCTGGTCCTCCCTCCAGGGCCGCACGTGTAACGGGCAGAAAAAGAAGCAGCTGCCCGCAGGCCACGGGTAGTGGGTGCGGGCCCGGGAGACAAGGACCTGGGAAGTAGAGCCAGTATGGTCCTGAGTCAGGTGGGTCCTACGCTTCGACGGTTTTGTTATTGTGGGTCCGCCTCCGAGTCAGCTCCACGGTTGGGTCATAATTCTTTTATTGGTTTCTTTTGGGCAATGGGGCCAAGTGTTCGCTAAAATGCCAGTGGTCCAAGTTCTAGAGAGATCTTGTAGGTTGACTTCAATGCCCTTATGCGTTGCTCATTTCTACAAAGCTTGCCCTCCAGAGTGGTTTGCTCTAGCAATCAGTTGGTGGTGCTTTGTAATTGCCAAAAGAATACAAGGGTAATTTGAGAAGATCGGGTTATATATCATTGATTTTCTTTTGACATGTGTCCCAAAGATTTGGCAAATTCTCTTTCTGCCCTTAATTTTCCCCTATTTTCCATTTTTTTGTTAATTTTAACGAGTTCTTATTTATCAACCATGAATATGTAATTCAGACTTAAAGCATCTCCAACGGTAGTTGCAAATTGAACTTTCAAATTAAAGTTTATTGACCTATGTGACAATTTGAAAAATTTTGTTTGCTACTTTATAATTTTAATTAATAAAATATTATGAAAAAATATTAAACAAAATATGAAAACATATGAAGAAAGTAACGTATGTTTTTAGCATTTTTAATGTAGGTTTTGTTCTTTCAAAGCAAAATTAAATGTTTTGAAGAGTCAAAATCAACTTGTTGATTCTAAAGAGATAAAAATAGGTATATTTGGTCACTGAATTTGACAAGTCTATTGTATAATCTTGATTTGAAAGTTTTATCTTCTATTTATTTACTCAATGAAAAATAAACTGAATAAAATATGAAGATAAACGAATCCACTAAAGACACCTCAATCAAGTTCCTAAGAGCACTACCACTAGATTTTACCTAGGAGCTAGATACCATATCCTATTTTAAGGTTACATCTCACATGTACTATTTATAGCTAATACTTAAACATGCCTAGAAACGAAGAAAATAAATACGTTGAACATTGAAACTAAACATATCTTTCTCGTATATAAACTTTGCTCTTAAAAGGAGGAACACATGAAAAACAAGAAACCGTCCTTTGATTCTCATACCAAGTAAAATAGTAAATGGTACTTGATCTTAGCATACAGAAAAGAAATTGGTACCATTAGACTAATTAACCCCTCCCATTACAAATAGTCTAGGGGAAATGAACCTACAATTAAAATAAATACTAAAATTCATGGATGTACTAAAAATACCCAACACAAAAGGGACCAAATGCAAAAAAAAAAGCAAAATGTGGCAAAAAATAAAGGAAAAGAGATGCTGATGCATGCACTGCAGGCTGCAGCCAATAGATTGAAACACCATGGAATCTCAAAACCACCCATTGTTTTTCTTTAATCAAGTATTTCTTGGACCAAAATACCCTTCCACTTCCAACCAATTAGATCCACGGGTTTTGCATAACAATGTAGAAGTTGACTCTGAGAAGGAATCTGATTGGTATAGACCACTTGTTCAAATAAACCCACTTGTACCTTATTCCATCAAGTCCACCCAGCAAGTCTTTATATAGGCCAGCACTTGCTCATCAGTTTCCTCCCCCCAATTTCACATTCTTTAGAGCAATCACTCATTCAAGCCCTCAGCTCCTCTAATATTATTTCTTTTCACTATGAGGACTGGCATGTTCTCCTACACCACTTATGAAGATCAGCAAATTGAGCCTCATTTCCTTGATGCTTGTTTTCTTTGCAGAAAACCACTTGGAAATAACTCAGACATCTTCATGTACAGGTATTTTCATGACCCAATTCCTGAATTTTTATTCCAAGAAATTATGGTTTTTTTTTATAGTTAATTTTGGCTTCAGATTTTTTTTTTTTGTGTGTGTTTGTGTTTGTGGTCATGTTCTGATGGAAACTATGGGGGAATTTTGCAGGGGAAACACACCGTTTTGTAGCAAAGATTGTAGACAAGAACAGATACAGTTTGATGAGGCTAAACAGAAAAGCTGGAAAGTGTCCTCTTCTTCTTCTTCCAGTAGGGGAGCCCTCAGAAAATCAGACACCAACAAGAACCCTACCCCTGACAAAAGTGTACGGAGGACAGGCACCGTTGCTGTAGCCTGATCTCAGAGTTTAAACACTGGGGTTGTGATTTGTAAAGGTGAGGTGGGATTGAGGAGAAGAATATAGGAAGTTGTGACGAATGTGTTAAATATCATCGGAAATATCGGTGGTCTACAAATCAGGAAATGTTGACCAATTGGGAATTAGAAAAGGAGAAGAAATGAAGAATACCCACCAAAGAGTTTTGTTTTGTTCAGGCTTTTTTTGGGTCTGTGTTTACAAGGAAGAGCCTCCTTTGGTATATAGGATGGTTTGTAAATTTTTTGTAATGATCTTTGTTTACTTCTCAACGGATTTTGAGACATTGAAAAGTTTCAAAGAGACTTGATTAAATCTTCACTCACGTTGTCATGATTTCATTTTTGTTTTATTTATTTTTCTTTGCTCTTTTTAATTGATTGAAGACTTAAAAAAGTGTTTTGAATCATCATAAATTACGCTTTTTCTCAACTCTTTTCTGCTTTCTGTATCAACGGAAAATATCTAATCACTTTACATTATCGAACGAAGAAAAAAGAAAGTAATGGTTACAGGCTTAATTTGGAAACGGTTTAAGGACGAATCAAATGGGGATGCCTCAATTAACCATGAAACATCCTCTCGTTTTCTGTTTTAATACAAAATTCCGGACTTCACTGCATGTCTCAATTGCTCTAGTTTTTCTGTCTGTGAAGATCTGAACTGTTTTCAACAGTACTTGCAGTTTTGGAAGAGTTAAAAGCGTTTCGAGACAACTAAAATACTTCATATAATGTTTACCATAAGGCTACCCTGAAAAAAAAAGGAGATGATAATAATTGGAGTGCCACAATAAATCTCTATATGTCACAACATGACTGCAACTTAGATATGGCTGGGCCTATATCATGAGGTACCATTATAACTTCTTGTTGATATAAGAACAATTGGTTTTAAAAAATTAAAATGTGAAAAGGCCATTAGTCTATAACACTAGAGCTCGTTTGCGTAGGCTATAATTCCTTCCCTCCATTAGTCCCGTCTGTGCTTTGTTTGTTCCCACGATGTTGAAACTTTAGATCATTTTTTTAGCACTAGTTCTTTTGCTCGTGAAGTTTGAGTGTTATAATGGTTGTCCTTGTCCTCCTGTACGCGTCAAAAGTGTTTGTGGGCTTTTGGTGAACACTGCGATGTCCCAAGTTTTTTGCAGGCTGTATTTTAGATGCGATGTGTTGCTTGTTGGTCAAGAAAAGTTAGTTTGGACCCTTAGGTTGGGCTCAATGCTGGCCTTTTCTTTATATGCGTTAGGCATGTCGCTACTAGTGTTTTACTCTTCTAGTAGGAAGAGAAGATGAATGATTAGGTAATGTGAAGATAGTGTTGCGCTCTTTGATCTTAACCTCTAACCAAAGCCATTGTGCTCCAAGTGGGGAATCTGACTTGGATATGTTCTTTTCTATGCTTCAATTAAGAGGACTTAAACATTTCACTTGCTATGTAATAAAACTTAGAAGAAGTAACAACTTTAAACTAATATTGGACAAAAAAGTACAATACAAGTTCGGAGACAAATGTGTCAGAAAGACATAATATCGTTACAAGAAACCAAACGCAAGTTCGTGTGGACCTAAATACACTTAATAAAAACAAAAAGTAGTCTAATAGAACCTGAAAATGCTGATGTGGCAAGGCGAATAAGATTTACTTACTCTTTTGCCTCTTCCCTTAGAAATGCTCTAAGCATGAATTGATTTCTATAATCTTCATTGCACATACTTTGCCCTATGAATCCTTATTTTTTTCTGGTTGACCGATTGTTGGTCAATGTTTCTTTAGCATCCGACGTAGTCTGATGGGCTTTTGGGCCTTTAGACATGCATGTGTTAAGTTTTGATCATTTTATGCTAACTGACCACAAAATCGGCCCATTGATGGTAGAAATTGGGTTGTGCTAATTTTGATCCAAACATTTTCTTTATATTTCTGTCGTCCTCAGTTTGGGACATTTTGGAAAAAGCAAAAAGAGAGAGAAAAATTTTAAAAGAAGCAAAAATGGACAAAAATACCCTTATTTATTTTAAGATTTCCTAAGGAATCCAATACATTTGCATGTCTTTGATTTGAAAGTTGAGCGGTTTTTTTGTCTTTTTAAAAAAAGCTTTGGCTTTTTCTAAAAGTGAAATTTTTTTTATGTCTAAAACCTAAAAAACCTTACTTTTTAAACCCCTCGTTGTGGTTCATTGGCTTACTTCTATTACGGATCTTAATGGTAAATCTTCTTGTGGCCTTGCATATCTTTTAGTCGTGCTCTGTCAACTTGCTGGCGGATATGGGAGTCTAGGAAGCAGTAGATTTTAATAATTATATGTTTTATTTATTTAATAATTAACATTATGAGATTGAACTCACATTATAGAGAAAGACTAAATGCCACTACTATTTTTAACCAAATAAGGTTCCTCTTTTTGAGAAAAATGTGATAGATTGCGTTCATAATTCAGGCTGAAAGGTCGTCAGTCACAAGAACCAATACAAATACAAAAGCTCACGAGCAACAAGTGCACAAGATTTACATCCGCTCATAGCCACATATGGCCTATTCCAGAAAGTCTGGAAAAACCATACAAATACCTCATCGCAACTAACTACAAAAACTCAAAAGGAGTTGATGCACTTATTCAACTAAAAAAACTGCAACACAAAACAAGTAAAACAAAACTTGATCTACCACCATGTCATCGCCAAGACAACCAAACAACCATCAAACTCAGCCCAAGACGGAAGCGTTGGAGGCAATGAGCGAGGATAAGAAGTGGAGAGGGTAGGGGAAGGTCTAGGAGGGTAAGGAAGGGAGGGATAGAGGCCACCGACTCCAAAGGAGAATGGCGGCTGAAACTTTTCTGTCTTATGATTTTTTCAAAGCTCCTTGATTATTAGTTGTGTGATTTACTTTAAATTACAACATTAATTCGTGGCTACAGATATTGGAACCCAGTTTTAGTCCAAGTAAAGTAAAAACAGCAAACAAGCAAGCCAACGTTTTCCAAGATCAGTTCAACAACGTAGAATGCCCTGCAGGAACAATCCCTCTAATTAGGCCACCAAGATCACATGATTATAATTGGAGTGCCCCAATAAAGTCCTATACGGCAATGGCACAGCACGGCCGCAGATTAGATGGAGCTATTGACAACAGTGAGGTACTTACCATTAAAAGGGGACAAATAATGTCTATTCATATGGTATATTTTTATTCGTGACCCTAACAAATTTCTTGTGGTTGAAAGAAGGATAAATATAGACACGCTTGCTACAATGTTCAATGAGCTGGTTTTGTGCAAACCAACCATAAATTTGTCTTGAATTCTGTCTTACGACCTCTTTCCAAATACAATGGGGAGCAGTTCGATGTGGATATCACTATATTGAAGGTAACTCACACAATACAGTTCTATTCTATTGAGGGATGTTTTAAGGAATTAATGCAAATGACAAATTGAGTTTTATAGTGAAAGTCAAAAACAAGATAATCCAAGACAAAATTTTCTTTCCTGATTGATGATGATTTACACTTTTAAATTTCATCAGAAGGTGGAGAATAGCTGTTGGTGGCTCCTAGTGCATGGCGAGCCAATAGGGTATTGGCCTCTCCACGTTTTCTCAACGTTGGCTGATAGTGCTACATAGATACATTGGGGTGGGGTGATGACCAATTTGAGAATTCATGGCCGTCATGCACCAACTCAAATGGGGGGTGGCCAATTTCCTCACGAAGACTTTGGAAAGGCACGTTATATCCGCAGTCTGCAATACGCAGATGTCACTGGCTCTTTCAAAGACCCAGAACGTCAAACCCTCCGGCCTTTTGCGATAAAGTCTCTTTGTTATGGCGTAAGTATTCCACATAAGGATACTGAGTATGAAAGCCATATGCATTTTGGAGGTCCCGGACACTCAAAAGATTGTCCAACTTAGCAATAATGAAACGGGAAAAGATGGACGAGAGAGTAATTCCATATTGAAATAAATAAAGTCTAATGACGAAAGAGATTAAGATGAGTTGTTCTATGAAGAATATCACATTGGGAGCACTAGTATATATGATATATGTAAGTTCCAAAATATTCTGAAAATTTATATTTCCAGTAATTTTTCGAAACAGAATTGATGTCGAATTTTTTATATTTTATGTTTTGTTACCAAATTGGAAGAATGATTTCATTATTAAATAACCTATACGTGGAAAAGGCTGATTCTTACAGAACCTACATTAGAATTGTCCGATGGCATTATCAACTTTACAAAAATAGCCATCCAATTTAGCTCACTTAAGCTCTTTCACCTTTTCTGCAGTAGTTTTCTAATCCTCTGTCCCCAAAAACAACCCTGTCATTGAAACAAGATTCAGCAAAGCTGAATGAAACACCATCAAGTAACCTTTGCCCTCTGCATGATCATGAATCTTCTTCTGCTAGCACTCTCCACTTGCTCACCTAGTTTGGCCAAGTGATTCATTCGTCTCTTCCATGATGCCGAGGCCCCCAATTCGCTCTGATTTTTTACTGAGTCAAGTTGCTCATTTTCAACAGATTCGGGACTTCTCTCAGATGTATTTCCTCCTCCTGTTTCTTGAATAATCTTCTTCAATGTGTCTACTACCTGACTCATTATTGGCCGATCTTTTGCACTCTTCGACAGACAACTATCAGCCAACCTAGCAATTTTTCTTGCTGCGCTGATCGAATACTTGTTTTCAAGCCGGCTATCCATTATCAAGCCGAACTTTTTGCCATCATGAGGGAACTGTTTCACCCATTCTAAGAGTCTCTGCTCTGTTCTTGGACGGTTTCTCTCCAATGACCGTCTGCCTGTAAGAATCTCATACAGCACCACACCGAAACTCCATACGTCACTCTTAGTTGTGAGATGGCCTGTCTCAATGTAATCTGGTGCAGCATACCCGTATGTCCCCACTACCTGATCACGAAACAAATTCCCATTAGCATTACAAAAGTCTTTAAAATTTAAATGCATTTAATGCAGTGACTTTGCAAGCCAATCGCTAACAGTTTAGTATGAAGCAGTATACAAATTCTCTTTGCTTCAAAGTTGGTGTTTTAATATGCATGGCTTGTCCCTCACTTGATTTGATTGCTTTCTAGTATTTTCCAGACTTATCTCACCTTATTTCTAGAACTTTCAATAATGCAAGATAATGTTCCAATATGTTTATTGCATGAATTTAGTGTATGACTTCGAGTCGCGATAAAGTTGGGACCAGGTGCACGCTACAAATGCTAGTGAGAAATAAGAGCACTTACTGCAGTTGAAACATGAGTATGGCCAACCATTGGCCCCTCCCTTGCAAGCCCGAAGTCAGAAAGCTTTGGTTTAAAATTCTCATCCAGTAACACATTCGCGCATTTAAGATCTCGATATATCACCTTCATCAATAGCATAAGAAAAAAATCAGAATAATAATGGTTAAGACTAAGCTTGAATGCTGAAAATAACATGTGAGAATAAACTAATGGAACAGTTCCATTTTAACGTGGTCTTGGGCACCCCTCAGTCACAAAGTAAATGCAGAAGAGCATTTGCGGGGAAGGGGGTGCAGAGGTTAGGGCATAGATGAAAAATCGATGTGGGAATGGGGTCTCATGGCCATGAAAAAGTTCAGGGTTGACCTTATGCAAAGAAAGAAGATATTTTCTCAAATTTGGACATCTGCCCACTCCCAGAACCAGAAGTGAATGTATATCTTGTTGGATTATGACTAGTTTGTTGACTTGTTAACCATGTTGGATTATGACTAGTTAGTTGGCTTGATAAGTTGTCATGTGATAGTTGTCATGTGACAACTTATCAAGTCAACTAACTAGTCATAATCCAACACATCTGCCCCAGGAGAAAGGTATACAATCTGTGATGAGTAGTAGTACTATATATTCAATTTATATGCCAACAATATGAAATAAAACAGCTGATTTTAAGCTTCAAGTATAAAAGTGGGATTGTATGTAGAAACTAATGGTTAATATCAATGCTTAGAGCTAACCTGAATTTCCAAACCTTCATGAAGATAAACTAATCCTTCAGCTGCTCCAAGTGTTATCTGCAATCTTGTCTCCCAAGGAATAGCTGGGTATGCCTTGTTAAATAGATGGTCTTCCAAACTTCTGTTCGGCATATATTCATAGACTAGTAGTCGTTGAATCCCTCTTTCTCCATCCACAGCACAGTATCCTATTAGTTTGACAAGATTTGGGTGCTCCACAACACCGAGAAATTGAACTTCCGCCACCCATTGTTTGTGACCCTGTATGGAAAACAGAACTATAAGAAATGATATTAAAAAAGAGAAAGAAATCGATCATGAAGTCGCAAACATCCATATCATCCACCTCTAGTTTGCCTCTAGATCACTTTCCATCCTTCGAAATAGGGAACGATTACCATTCCAACTAGACGAAAATCTCAACAATGAAAAGGAGCCACAAATAGGCAAAGTGGCTCCCAACAAAAAGTTCACTATGAAAAACAGGTTGATACAAATATGCTAAGAGAAAACATTGTCCATCTTAATCCCCATATTATTATGGAAGGATTCTAGGGGAAAAATTTGTGACCCACAGAGGAAGATACACATAATTAAATACCATCTTATCTCATGGATGTCATTCTCCATGACAGAGAAAGATACAGGTTTGGCTGCATAAAGACACAACAAAATCTAGGTATTCTCTCTTGCAAAAATAAATGGAGCCATATATGCATATATAAAACAAATTTCAGAAGAAATATTTTACTGAATAGCTTCAAATTCCCTTTAAAGGAAAGAAATAAATGCTGTCATAGAAAGAGACTGAACAGAAATGTAAGGAGAGGAGGGCCAGAAGACTCAGAAAAAATCAATTAACTATATTTTAGACAGCAGTTTAACTGCTTTGAGCATAAATATTCAAGGAGAATAAGTCAATAAAATGTTTCTTAAGCATTTTAAATAATAATGGGAAAGAAAAAAACTCTTGAGGGCATTGTTTAACAATTCAATTTAATAGGAAGATGCTTAAAATACCATACCTGTAAGCCATCATTGTTAAGCTTTTTAATGGCGACCACGATTGGATCGCCCTTGGCATCAGCAGGCTTAATTGAACCTTTATAAACATTCCCAAATCCACCTTCTCCAATCTTAAGCAGCCTGCTGAAATCGTTTGTCGCATGCCTGAGCTCTTGGAAAGTAAATACTCGCAAATTATGAGCCTTCTCTTCATACAATTCGGGTATACCGCGCGGTGAATTTTCTGAGCAGGAAGATTGAATCACCCTATCAGCTCCCGAATAATCAGATTTCCTCTGTGCTTTCAGTTCTGGAGCTGATTTTTGTTCCCTGCTCCTTGTTTTGTCCTTGAAGTAGTAGAAGCACTTCATTGCATAAAATCCTATATCAAATCCCTACCAAGATTTGAATGTGATCTTCCTTTGCTGCCATTGAATCAAGTTCAGAAAGTTAAAGCCTGCCACTGAATTGTCACGTGAATATAAGAAAGTATCAGCATCTTCATACAAACATAATTAAAATTCCCAAATGGTTTGTAACTGCTAAAAGAAGAAAGATTATAATCACAAAGAAAATGTTTACTGGCCAAAGAAATGTTTAATTCAATGAAACCACAAATTGAACAAGAATTTAAATTTTTTAAATAGATGGCAGCACCCTAGATTTGGATGCAAACAGAGCAATCATGCAAAGATAAGGAAGGCCCTGATGAAAAATAGATACAAGAGATTGAAAATCAAGAAATCACAGATGATGAATTGCTTGGCAGAATAAAAAGAATGATCAAAACAGTGAAATCCCAGATGGGAATTCAGAATGGAAGTATAAATTAACTTACAGATAATCAGCAGACAGAAATGGAAATGGAACTGGAAATTCAAGGCAGGGCAATCCTGACCCAGATGAACAAAAACAAAGACAAGAACAATGAATGAACCAATAAATCCAAATCATAAAGGAAATACCTTCACCAATCAATTCTTTTTCAAAGTAATTTCAAAGGGTTTGGGGGATTGAAGGTTGGAGAGACCTTCACGGGTTTCTTTTCTTGTTTGGCTTCTCTCTCTCTTTGAAATAGTATTGATATAGTCTCTATATGAATTAAGTGGCTAGCTTTAAATGGTTTGGCAATTGTTTGCTTGTGGAATTCAACATTGTATGTATTAAATAGAATTCAACCAACTTGTCAGTTGACAATAACGAGTAGTTCCAGAAACTCCATCTCTCTCTCTCACACAGATTGAAACGAAACAAAACCTTTCCAGAATATGGACTCTATAGTCAAAGCCAAAAACAAAGAATATGTTGTTCTATCACGTACAACTAATAAATGGGTCAACGCTTTGAGGAGACTGTTTAAGAAATTTTCATTATCATTTTCTTTTGAGAATCTACTTTTTCATAATTCAAGGAGGATGAAGAAATTTTCGTGCATGATCGTAGAATTATGTGGTATTCTGCCGTGTGATTTATAAGTTTACTCAAAAAATTTCGGGCATGATCGTAAATTTTCATGCATGATCGTCAATATTTCACGTAATGATATGATCACACCGAAAAATTACTGTTGTGAACGGTATAACAAATGCTTGTATGAAATTCAATAACAAAATTAGCACATTGACCATTCCATTCAGTAACAAAATAGTGAAATTTACGGAAAAAGCTAGATAAATATTACCAAAACTCACCACCTAACATTTCCATTAGTTAATTAAAGTTTTGGGATAGGGTTGATGGGAATACAAGACCATCAAGTTGTGTAAATTATAATAAATAAATATAAGTACGTATTTGTCTTAGCAAAGAAGTTTGCAGAGAGACCCTTGAAATCTGATTGGAAAGTGACTTGGGGACAAATGAGACCTCTAAAATTGACCAATATGCTTAGTTAAAGCAAAGCTAGAATATGCACATTATTTATTTGTTCACGCTTGTTGAGAAAAATGCACATGAGCTTCAACTTGACCATGCAACCTGTCCTTTACAAAGCTCCCAATCCCATCCGCATTAAAATTGGAGCTAGGCGACTCCTGTCTCCATTGACAATAACCCAAGCCTTGGACAAAACAAAATGGTAGGGGAACCATTTGGGATTTTAAAAGGAAGTCAACAAAACAACCTTGTTTGAGGGTCATATAGTGGTCAACAATTTTAGGTCTTGCTCATGTCACTTTTTTGTTTTTTTTCAGATTTACTTGATAAAGATTTTTTTTTCTTCTTCTTTTTGCCATTAAATACAAAAAAAAATCCCCAAAGGGCACCGATGACCGTACAAGTTTCAATGGGATACAAGAGGTAAACTTATATGATACTCCCCCAACAACGACCCAAGGGTTACCAAGTTGGCCCAAAGCATAAAGGCAGATGTGGTATTCCTAATACACGGCTCCAACGGGCTACCAAAAACTGGTACACAACCAGTAAGCTTGAATCACCCAAGCAACACAGCAACCCACACACAGAGAAACTCTCTTTAAGAGAAACCAAAGAAACCGACTAACAAACTCGCACCACAACCGCTAAAAACTATTGGTACACTTACTACAAAAACACAAACAACCAAACCGACAGCCCAACCACTGTCGAACTCCAGAGTCTGATGCCCACAACCACATGTCGACCATTGGCACCAAATAGATCCAACCTGCAACCCAAAAGGCACAAATATGCATATCTACAAATAAGGACTTATTTGTAACATTTTCCTTCATTCATTTTTTTTTTTCTTCTTCTTATTTTTATTTTTATGAACTTATTCAATCTCTGGATTAAATATGGTATATGATAACCGTCAATATAATTAAGACAATAAACCCATTGTTACGCTTGAATATCAATATCATCAATTTTATAAGTAGGGTTTTTAGGTTCAATAGTCCTTAAACTTTGACCCGATTCGCATTTTAGTTTCGTTAGAACAAATGGTCTTACCTTCAGTTTTGTTAACTTGTTCTGTTGAATACATAGGCAAAATGATATTTTTGTATTATTTTTAATTTTCACCATATGAATATTCCAACAAAGCCATGGACAACCTCCACCCAACACCGAACCAATTAACCCACCACCGGTAACAACTGATAGCGCTCCTACAACCCACACCCACACTCCCACCCAAACCATACCCACCCTCCTTGTGATGGCGAGGATAGGAAGAAGATTTTTAAGTTTTTATTTGTATGTTTTAGGTGAAATGAATATTCAAATGGTGGAAACTAAAAATAATACAAAAATACCATTTTGCCCTTGTACTTAACAGAAAATATAACAAAATTAACGGCAAGACTATTTGTCCTAATGAAAGTGAAGTTGATGGACCATGAGAATGATTTTGGAAATTGATGGAAAAAAATGTGAATCGAGTCAAAGTTTAAGAACCATTAGATCTAAAAACCCTTTATAAGTATCATATCAAATCTTGTTAAAAAAATAAAAAATAAAAAATAAAAATATTATTAACCTTTGACTCTGTCGCTCTCTACACACACATATAAACCTTCATTAGATTGTATAAAATTCAATTATACCAAAGAATATACCAACCCATATGATTCAAAAGGGTACATGTGTTGCCATTGTATTAATAATATTTTGATCAAATTATGGATTTGGTGGGTTTATGAGATATAGAGAAGAAAGAACTAGACTATAAATCCAATGCATAGTCATCTGACCAAAAAAAAAAAGGAAGAATAAATGACATAATTATGTATATAATTGTATAAATATTCTATTTGACAAGTAGTAGGAGGGATCTTAAAATTCCCCATAACATACATTGAACTCCCAACGACTGCAAAAGCTCTAAATTCACGCATTATTATAAAATAAATTATTGGTATCACGCATCAACGTCAAATTATTTTTGGTGCATTGGCGGTGGTCCCTTAAAGCTTGGACATTCTCTGGAAGCTGTACTTACTTGTTCATGTTTTCTATCGAGAATTATGTTATTATGATGGATTCCCAGAATGATGGATGCCAATCACACACCAAGCAGCTTTATTGAAAGTGATAGCTTCCAAATGGTTTGGGCTGTGCACTAATAGCACATCAACATATGTCTCAACTTTTTAGTGATGAGTTCACAACTTTTTGGTGAATGTTTGAATGATTTCGTTTATCTGCAAAGTTTTCTCTGCAAATATTTGTAAGAAAAAAAAAAAAAAAAAATAAAACTGTTTTTTGGCGGGGGGTTATAATTTTTTTTTTTTTTTTTTTTTTTTTTTTTTTTTTTTGAAGGAATTTGAGAAATAAATAGCATAATTTTCTTTACAAGAAGCCAATATTGAGTGGAGAGATGCTAAGCTCTTTTTTTTCTTTTTTTTGGGTTCAACATAGAGAGATGCTAAGATAAAACAAGAAATAAGAGAACATTCATTAATTTATTTTTTAAAAAAATTAGTGTATAATGATTAAATTTTTAATAATTAGGATATCATAAATCAAGTATTTTGGTTTTGTAGTTGGTGAATGGGTTTTGAATTTTCTTTTATAATAGGTCAATAAGGGGGCCCATTTAAATTTGTAAGGAAAATATTATTTTACCCACCACCGCCCACATGGACCACCTCTAGCCATTGCCGCCCAGAACCAAGCCTCCGTCAACCGGACCACTATCTCACACCTCCTGATAGTCTCAGGTTAGACTCGGTAGCCGAATCACTCCCGACTGCCACCTTCACTTCAATTCATAATTAAAAAAGTATTAAACACCATGAAATTTGTAGAATTTGAAATGCACAAATTGTAAACTTAAAAATATACCAATATAAGAGTAATATAAAAATACACAATGTGTTAAGTTTTACTAATATAAACCTCAAAAAATATCAATATAAGAGTAACAAAAAAATACACATTTTTTTTTAGAACAATATCAGATTTCATTCATAAGCCAAAAAGGCATACAAATATCAGCACGAATATAGTAGCCTCATTAAAACCTTCTTAGGAAAATCACATGGGACAAACTCCAGAGTAGGAAAGAGTACCACACATGCCATTGACTAACAAGAGAATATGACTTTGGGCCACAATGGACCGTTACAAAGTACCCAATCGAAAAAAGACTACTAGAACCAACACAGAAGACCCCATAAGAAAGCACACCAACGCATCCCAACAGTCAAAAGAAACCTAAGCACACCAACACATCCCAACAATCAAAAGAAACTTGCTATGAGAACTCTTAGTCCTTGGTACAACACAAAAATTGTATAGCATGCCACCAGGCATAGACATGAACACCACCAAGAAAGATAATAGGGATGACAATTGAGAAGAGCCTCAATAAAGCACACCAACTCGGCCCAGAACTAGACAGAGAAAAACTGCCTATGACCAAGCATAATTCTTTAGTCAGTGT